ACGTGCAATTTAACACTCAAGCTCTCTAGCTCTCTTTTGCTTTCTAGCTCTCAAAAAACTCCACTTCGCTAATTTAAGCATTGGAGTGCCCATACTGAATAAAGTAGCTTGAGTACTCTGATCTTTTCTCTCTTTCCTTACAACTCGACCAAGCAACCTATCTAGTCTGACATACGAGCTTTCCTCTAGCAAGGAACTATGGGTTTCTCTAGAACTCGACATATATAACTTGCCCTATGTTGCATTGCCCCCAAACAGTCAAGATTAATTTTCATTTTTGTCCACATTTCTCCATCTTTCTTTTAACTAGTGGAATGGCCCGTGCGATGCACGAGGTATTTGATATTGATGGTGATATTTGAATATGCTTTTATATATTGGGTATAGATTTGTAATTTATGTTATTTTCTTCAATTTTTATGATTTTCTTTTTTTTATAATTTTTTATGTATTTTTTTGTTTTTTATAATTTATATTATTTTTTTTCATTTTATGTCTTTTTTCATAATTATTTTGCAATAACATATATATAATGGGAAAAATAGAAAATTGAGGGTAAAGTTGAAAAGTAAAATTAGAGTGTTTTGACCAAACCAATTGCACCATTCTCATTTTTGATATATAAGTTTCTATGATTTTCTACATTTTTTGTAAATTTTCAATGTATTTCTTTGTTTTTTGTAATTTATATTGTTTTCTTCATTTTATGTTTTTCATAATTATTTTGTAGTGACAATATATATAATGGAAAAAATAGAAAGTTGAGGGTAAAGTTGAAAAGTAAAATCAGGGTGTTTTGGCCAAACCAATTGCAACATTCTCATTTTTTAGTATATAAGATAAGATATACATGGTATAGAAATTTTTATGATTTTCTATATTTTTTGTGTATTTCACATTCTCATTTTTTAGCATGTTATAGAAATTTTTATGATTTTCTATTTTTTGTAAATGCTTTTGTGTATTTCTTTATTTTTTTTTTTGTAATTTATATTGTTTTCTTTATTTTGAGGAGAAAGGTGCATAGGATAAAGAGACACCATTTCTATTTCCTTCTTCCTATTGTGAAGTAGGGGGAATGGATAAGATATACACTATACAGAGAGGGGTTTAAAGGAGAGAACTAGGGTTTTAGAATTTATTTCTTCGCTYCATGTGTGAATGATAATATTTGGCCTTTTGCCTCATGTTGTTATGCTCGTCAATGGTGGGGTTGTTATTTGCATATCTAACGGCTAGCGTTTGGATATAGGTTGATCTTGATTTGTTTATATTCGGATTTGAATTGAACATCAATCCGATTTTTGTAGAAGAGTCCAGATCTCCTGCCAACAAAACACATTCCAAACCCCTACGACCCTACCAAGTACAAAACCCCTACGGTATTACGTTGGTAGGGTGTTTGATTATTGGACTGGCCTGATGATCGTTGAGAAAAAAAATACCCTAAAACAAATCAATATAATGAACCTGAAAGCAGTTCCAATCCAATACAACTTATTATGTTAACGAAGACAATCAAAATAGAGGGGAAATGGGAAAAAATACTTGAAAAAATAGGGAAAAACAAAAAGAGGCTTCATTTAATCATCTAATTGATTGTTCGATAATGAAAATAGAGAGGTCAAAAAAATCCATTCCTCCCTTCAATTTGAATTYGTGGGTTTTGGGCAAACCATCCGATACTTGATACATGTTGGCTCTAATCAATGAAGAGGCTCATCAGGTAGGCCTGACGGGAGTAGGCCTGTCAATGACACCCGAAAATCCGAGGCCCAATTTGATATCCGATCTGATTATCTTGGATTCAGATTACATATTTATGTAATCGGATCAAATTCGGATGTTACAATCTACATCCAATTAATAATCAAATCGGATTTGGATTTGACCCAATATGATTTGATTAAAATTTGAATATGATTACATTATAATATTTATTAATTTTAATATATAAATTCTATATAATTATATTAAAATTTATAAAACTATATTTTAAATATTATATTATATATGAATTTATATACAATAAATTTAGTATGTTATATTTATATTAATTATTATATATAAAAGTTGAAAAATAAATATATATTTTTTTAATTTTACTGGTATTTTAGAGAATTTAAAGTAGAGTCGGATTAAATCCGAATCCGATATGAGTTTGTTAGGATTCAAATTCGAATCTGAGTCTTTAAATCTAATCGAATTTTGGATCAAATTTGAATGTAGTTTCTTAATATTCGGATCGGATGCGGATTTTGCTACATCCAATCAGAATTCGATTCGATTGCAGCCCTATTGGGGAGAAGATCAAATAAGGCCCAAGGGGAGAGAGAGGAGTAGGTTCCATAGCGGTCTTATTATTATTTTATTTGTTAAAAGCATGAACTATTAGCTAAATAAAATTGGAAAAATAAAAAAAACTATTATTATTTTATTTGTTTTATCTAATTACAAGTGTTAACTGTTAATTAAATAAAATTAGAAAACTAAAAAGGGTAAAAATGGAAAGTGAAAATCAGGCTTTTTCACGAAACATTGTCACCATCCTCATTTTTATAAATGGTACAGACAACATTCTCATTTTTTAGTATGGTATAGAAATTTTTATAATTTTCTACATTTTTGTAATTTTTTGTTTGCGTATTTCTTTATTTCTTTTGTAATTTATATTGTTTTCTTCATTTCGAGGAAAAAGGTGCGTAGGATAAGAGAGATGCCATTTCTGCTTCCTCCTTCCTACTATAAAGTAGGGGGAGTGGATAAGATATACACTATGCGGAGAAGGGTTTAAAGGAGAGAATTGGGGTTTTAGGATTTATGTCTTTGCTTTATGTGTGAATGATGACATTTGGCCTTTTGCCTCCTGTCGTTCTGCTCATCAATGGTGGGGCCGTTATTTGCATATCTAATGCTTAACATTAGAATATAGGTTAATCATGATTCATTTATATTCAGATTTGAATTGAACATCCATTCGATTTATATAAAAGAATCCAGATCTCCTGCCAACAATGCATTCCAAACCCCTATGACCCTACCAAGTACAACCCCTACGATATTACGTTGGTAGGGTGTCAGATTATCGAATTGGTCCGATGATCATCGAGAAAAAACACCTAAAATGAATCAATATAGTAAATGTTTGGCATCGATGTTGTAGTTGCAACACAGTGCCTTTTTTTTATTTGGAATCGTTGTTGCCAGGTAGGACGTTTCCTGGAGCAACAACAACTTTTTTTGTTTGGTACCAATGCTCTAGGAAACATTTTCTGCACTTCTACCCATTATCCACTGCCACATCACTACCCTGTTGGAAGCAACAAGCTGCAGCTCCAGGAAATGCCAAATTTAGCGTTGCTCCAAGCCATGCCCTCCTGATTTCCAAGGCATGGCTTGGAGCACCGTTTTCTATGGAAAAATGGTTCCAAACATATGGTTGTTTCCTAGAGCACTGTTTTTCCTACATGGCGTTGATGTGGTGCCCTTTTCTAGAGCAACAACAACGGTTCTAAACAAGCGCATAATGAACCTAAGAGCATTTCCTGATCCAATACAAGTTATTACGTTAAGAGAGAAAATTGAAAAAAAAAGGAGAAAAAAAAAACTTCATTTAATCATTTGATTGTTCCCTGATGAAAAGAGAGAGGTTGAAAAAAATCTATTCTTCCCTTCAATTCAAATTCGTGGTTGGGGCAAACCATCCAATACTTGACACGTGTTGGATTTAATCAATGAAGAAGTTCATTAATTAAGTAGGTGCTTCGGGAGAAGATCAAATAAGGCGAGGAATAGGTTCCTTAGTAGTCTTATTATTATTTTATTCGGTTTATCCAATTACAAGTGTTAACAGTTAATTAAATAAAATTGAAAAATAAAAAACATAACAAAGGGTAAAAATGGAAAGTGAAAATTAAGCTTTAAAATATAAAAACATGATAAAGGGTAAAAATGGAAAATGAAAAATAGGCTTTTTGACAAAACATTGTCACCATCCTCATTTTTATAAATGATGAGATATAAAGATTATCCAATTACAAGTGTTAACTGTTAATTAAATAAAATTGGAAAAATAAAAAATATAATAAAGGGTAAAAATAGAAAGTAAAAAATCAGGTTTTTTGACGGAACATTATCACCATCCTTATTTTTATAAATGGTTCAGACACAGATATTATATATATATATATATATATATATATAATTTAGGCATTTTAAGAGGGCAGGATTGAAAATATAAAATCAGTATTTTAAGAGAGGATAGGATTGAAAATATGAAATCAAAGAGGGATAGAATTGGAAATATAAAATCAGAATTTTGGACGGTGGACGCTCATCCATTTCTGTTTTTATAAATGGGTAAGATAAGATTTCCTCTGATTTTGGCTTCGACCTTCGACTAAACCAGTTTTCTACCCCTTTTCTTGCCCTTCTCTTTGGCAATATTCCTAGCAGCCTTGTATGTTTCTATGGGCGTCAGTGCTCTGTTTTTAGCATTTCATGCGTTTTTTCTTCTGTTATTTAATAAAATTTATCGATGTCAAACAGAGTGGTCAACAAAAAAAAAAGTATCAGAGTCGTAGTGACGGAAGTTCCACTAACATGTGCATGGAAGGATTTAATGTCGAATAAATAAATGATATAAGGCTCGGAGCTACACATAAATGAATCTTCAATGCCATGACATTTGATTGGTCAACGAACAAAACTTGTATCAATCTTTCCTTTTCTCCACATAACGCTTTGAATTTAGACTTTGGAACCAGCCAGCCAAGTGACAATGGTTTGCAAGTTAAAATGCTCACAAGTCAAGGAGTTGTTAAGAATCCATCGGATAGGAACTTAAATCTGCAGAGTTGCCGACTTGCCTCCACCAAGGCACCAACTGGGGGTGTATGCACTAATTGTGATCAAATTATTTTTTACGGGTGATGGGACCCACTGAGACGTTCATGTCTCCTTTTGAAAACTAGAGATATATGCTTGAATGGGGTCTCTATATCTCTGTGAGTATATCTGTTTTCTGGTTGTGATGATTGACTAGAAGTTGTAGGCTAGGGACCTGCCGAATCAGAAACTCGATGGATGTACGTATGTTTTGTTTCTTTCTTCTAAATTTGCTGAATACTTTTGGCACTAGATCCACAGTAGCAGCCATGTTGGGAAACCAAACGGATCGACTCGCTTTGTTAGCCTTCAAGAATCAGATAAATCATGACCCACTTGGAGCTCTGAGTTCGTGGAACGATTCTCTCCATTTCTGCCAGTGGCAAGGTGTTTCATGCGGTAGCTTGCACCAGAGGGTGACAGCCTTGAACTTAGAAGGGAAGATGTTGGTTGGCTCTGTTTCTCCTTCCATAGGAAACCTTTCTTTCCTTACAGAGATCAACCTCCAAAACAACAGCTTTCATGGACAGATTCCTCAAGAAATTAGTCTCTTGCCTCGCCTACAGCATCTCGTTCTGTCTCAGAACTCATTCAGTGAGGGCATTCCAACTAACTTGTCCCGTTGTTCCCACCTCAAAGTCCTCGATTTGTATGAGAATGAATTGACAGGAATAATTCCGACGGAGCTCGGGTCATTGTCGCAACTGGTCAACTTGGTTCTTGCTAAAAACAATCTAACTGGGGTGATTCCAGCTTCCCTTGGGAATTTATCATCTCTTGAGATGCTTTCTCTAACGCGAAATGGTTTGGATGGAAGCATTCCATATGAACTAGGCCAACTTTCGAGGTTGACGTTTCTGGGCATTGGCGCAGGCAGACTATCCGGTACGATCCCTTCCTCGCTTTACAATCTCTCATCTATCAATTTATTTTCGGTGGTTCAAAACCAACTATCAGGGAGTCTGCCGCCTGACCTTGGCCTTAAACTTCCAAACCTCCAAGTATTTGCAGTTGGAGTAAACCAGTTTACTGGACAGATTCCAGGATCACTAACAAATGCCTCTGGCCTTCAGATCCTTAGTTTCCATGATAATTACTTTACTGGACCAGTACCTAGTAACCTAGGAGAGTTAAAGTCTCTGCTCTGGGTGGATATCAGCAATAATTCGCTTGGAGATGATGCAGATGATGACTTGAGTTTTCTCACATCTTTGATTAACTGTAGCAGTCTAACCAATCTGGGTTTTGCTAATAATCATCTCAGGGGTCTATTGCCCAATTCTGTGGCCAATCTCTCAACGAAATTAACAACACTAGAGATGGGAGGGAACCAAATAGTTGGGAGCATCCCCATAGGGATTGAGAATCTTCTTCAGTTAACATTATTGGGAATGGATCGGAATTTCTTCAGTGGTAGTATTCTTGCTACAATTGGAACGCTTCAGAGTTTGCAGAAACTACTCCTAAATAAAAACAGGTTCACAGGACAAGTCCCGTCGTCCCTGGGGAACCTTAGCCAACTGTACGAACTACATCTGGAGGAAAATCTTTTAGAAGGGCCTATACCATCGACTCTTGGAGATTGTCAACATTTACAATTATTAAACCTTTCAAAGAACAGTCTTAATGGGAAGTTACCCAAACAAGTTCTTGGCCTTTCTTCTCTGGACTCCCTCAATTTGGCAGGCAACTCTTTAACTGGCTCCCTGCCATTAGAAGTTGGGAGCCTCAGAAATTTGAGGGACTTGGATGTTTCTGAGAATAAATTGTCTGGTGAAATCCCAAGCACACTTGGAAACTGTTTGGGACTAGAACGCCTGCATATGCAGGGTAATTTCTTTCAAGGGATTATTCCTCCATCTTTGAGAAATTTGAGAGTCATTCAAGTCTTAGATATTTCACGCAATAACTTCTCTGGTGAGGTTCCAAAATTTCTTGAAAGTTTTCCTTTTCTGCTGAATTTGAATCTATCCTTGAATGACTTTGAGGGTGAAGTACCAACTGAAGGAGTCTTTAGAAATTCAAGTGCATTTTCAGTCGCTCAAAATGGCAAGCTTTGTGGAGGAATCCCTATACTGCAATTGCCGACTTGCTCCAAGAAATCATCCAACCAAAAGTCTAATAAGCACGTATTAATCACAATTATCAGCGTGGTTCTTTGTTTGACATTAGCATCATGCTTTGTTACTATTTATTGGATAAGAAAATCAAGACAGAAGACTTGTCCTACATTTTCAGGGGAAGATTGGTCCCCAATGGTTTCTTATGAAAGGCTCTCCAAGGTAACCAATGGGTTTTCTTTGGACAAGAAGATTGGAGTGGGTAGTCATGGTTCTGTATATAAGGCAACTCTTGATGAGGATAAAACAGTGGTTGCAGTGAAAGTTCTCAATCTTCAGCAACGAGGAGCTCTCATAAGTTTTTTGGCAGAATGCGAAACCTTAAGAAACGTCCGGCATCGAAATCTTGTCAAAATACTAAAACTGTGCTCAAGCATGGACTTCCAAGGTAACGATTTCAAAGCTCTGGTTTTTGAATTTATGCATAATGGGAGTTTGGAGAAGTGGTTACATCCAGAAGCTAACTGCTCGAGGAATCTCAACTTTATTCAGAGGCTGAGCATTGCAATTGATGTGGCTTCTGCTTTAGAGTATCTTCATCATTACTGCCAAATACCAATTGTTCATTGTGACTTGAAGCCAAGCAATGTTCTCCTCGATGACGAACTAAATGCTAAAGTAGGTGATTTTGGGCTGGCAAGATTCCTCTCAAAAACTGGAAATCAATTTTCCGAGAGCAGAAGTAATTCAGTTGGTATCAGGGGAACAATTGGGTATGTTCCTCCAGGTAAACATCTTTGTTCTACTTTCATTTTTATTTTGTCAGATTTTCTTCACTTAAAACAAATTCTTAGGTACATTGTTGTCTTCCTTTGGAACATGAGTATGAAATTTATAATTAAAGGTCCCAAGTATGAAATTTCCTTGTTGGATGATCTCACCATGGATTCTATAAATTTTAGCCATTTAAAGGATTGTTGATAGAACAAAAAGCTAGAATAATTTTTACTTAATATAAGCATGGACCTTTTTTGGGAGCAAATAGTGCTCTTTGACTCATTTACTGAACTAATCAGGAGGACATCCTCCTGTTCACCCTCAGAAGTTATGTTTTGTTATCTTGAATGTTCCTCTTTTTAAATACATACAAGCATTATATATATATATATATATATATATATATATATATTAATGTGTGATGTGTAAATTGCAGAATATGGAATGGGTGGAGAGCTATCTACAAGTGGAGATGTGTACAGTTATGGGATACTTCTATTGGAAACGTTTACAGGAAAGAGGCCCACAGATGACATGTTTGTTAATGAGATGAACCTCCATAAGTTTGCTAAGATGGCTTTGCCTGAGAAGGTTATGGACATTATTGATCCAAGATTGATCACTGTAGAAGAAGAAGAGACAATCAAGGGTTCCAGGATTTGGAACTATACAATAGATACAATGGAGGAGTGCCTAGTGTCCGTAATTAGAATTGGAGTTGCATGTTCTGAAGAATCTCCAAGAGAGCGCATGGATATGGAAGAAGTCGGAAAGAAATTGCACTTGATCAGGGACCTATGTTGTTGGTAGGTCAAAGCACATATAGAAATTCATTTAAGATGATACCTATTAAAGTATTGTTGTGAATTTTACCACATAAGAAATTATGCTTTAGTGTTCTTGTTAGGGTTATATGACCCATCTGGGTCTTCCCTGTATACTTGCTCATTGGTATTTATGCCTGATTATTGCCTGTATTCATTTTGAAAGCATATTTTTTCATTGTATAGCCACTACTTTGACAATGTATGTAGGTCTTATCTTTTTCCCTTGTCTTTCCTTTGGCTTATTTCTTCTTTTCTATCTCATAAAATCCCAACACTAGGCCAACCCGCTACCTCTTCCAGGTTCTGGTTTGGTGGATTCCTCCTTAGATATGAAGTCAACCTGATCTGGTGTGCCTATTTTTATTAGGTATTAATGTATCAGTGGGAATGAATGTAAGGTTTTCTGGTCCAAAATTAGGATCCACTCAATTACCAATACATTCAGAAAACATGGACATAAGCCTGAGTAACCAGGATGGATATGTAACAAACTTTCTGCACTGCACAATACCACCATGAATTTGTGACCATTGCGAGGAGATAGATCCATTCACTTTTCTTACATTCTTGGATCAAGTAATACTTGGTTCAGATAGGGGATTAAGTTGGTAGAATGTTTTTGTCTACAACTTTAAATGCCAAAGTTAAACAGAGTTTCTACTGATGAAGGTATAATCTCAAACCTTGAGGCAAGATCTTGTGAGAAACAATTTTCCCTAAAATAGGAGGGTCACCTTTACATGATTCATTGACATAGGATAAAAGCTTCATGCCTAAATCCACATGGGATTGGTTATCTATTGTGCTTACACGTGACATTCTAATATGACACTAAGAACAATCTTCATATATGAGCTATTGTACATTCTACATTCTAATATGGAACAACATTATTACTAATCTTCTGGGATGGTCAGCAGGCAGCTCACCTGCTCTCTTTTTTGTAGATTTTGTCACATTTTGATCTAAGATCTTGTACATGCTTTTGAGGCAGGACTATATCACATGTCAACCATGAAAGCTAATCTAAGTCTTGCTCATCAAAAGAACTACTTGCACATGTGAGAGAAACAACTGGAGGCCATTAGCTAAGATAAGGACTTCTACAAAACCTGAGAATCATCAAGCTAACTTTATTTTTCACCTCACAAGACTACCTTGTGATCTCAGAAGCATTACCCAGGTCAATTCAACCATGCAACTACATTGCACTCTTAACAAGTGATCAACTATAAATGGTTATTTGTGATGAAGGTTCATGGTCTTGACCAGGAAGAAAGATATTGTGAGAATGGTGCCTTCCCAACAGAAGCAACACCTTCCTTTCATTTAAATCCTCATGGCATTGGTTGGTTGTTTTGTGCTGGCACTAAAACATGTTAATCTAACCATTAGGCTCAGTATGGAAAGAGTACAAATACAAATATGTACAGTGCAAATACATACAAAATATAAGGTTTTGCACTCTACATATTTGTATTTGTACTCCTTCCAAACTAAGCCTTAAGAACTTTTTTTTTAGTACAAAAGAATGGTATTATGTCAATTCCAGAACAGATTAGGAAAGATGTAAAATGAAGGTTGGAGCAGAGACTTTAGTATGAGTGAAATATAAACCTTTTCTACTAAACTGAAGATTTGGCTTAAATATTTGATCATTGTTCCAACATTCACCTATATATGTTACCCAGATACGGCTGGAAATGGCAAATTTACACTAAAAATTGAAGTATGGGACATGATTCGACACCATTGAACAACCCAAGTGAACCAGAAAAGCAGAACCAGGTCCCTTTTGGTTTGAGATTGAACCGCACAAGTAGGAGCACATAAGACCTTATTTCCAGTCAGGTCCTAATCTTTCTTTAGATTAGACTTTGAACCGATCATGATGGGATGCAATGTTTCTTGGGCCCTAAGCCTAGCATAGCACTGCTCTCTTGGGTTGCATGTATGAGGTATCCAAGTAATCGGGTACCAGTATCCATTAAACGAGTACACATCTCCGCCCCACAACGTCCCACAGCACATCCCCCCCTGTATTGGGAATATCTCTCGATGATGAGATCACCGGTTCTGATACTATCATCGGGAGATGTTTCCAATACACAGCGGGGATGTGCTGTGGGAAGGAGATGTGAATTCCCATTAAACACTCTCACTTCTTAGAAGAACAAAAATCTCCTCCAACATGTGTCTCATATCTGCTATTGGTTGCAGCACAACCCCCCAATTATGGGCTTGTTCTCCAACGTGAATTGTTTTTCTTGTTGTCTGTTCCAAGAACAAATTACCAAGCTTGGAAATAGATTGTTTCTCAAAATAAAACACAGAAAACATGTTCTTTTATGTGTCTTTTGTTATCAAAACCGAAATCAGAAACATGTCTTTGAATTTATGGTTTCAGAAACACATTTTTCCTTTCGTGATTTGGTATTGTGTTTTACAAATTCTAATCCAATGGATATAAGTTTTCTTTCAATTTTTCTTTTTAAATGGGCTTATGCCTAGTTTAGCCTATATTGGTAGGGATAAAGCCCATGATTGTTTTTTCTTTCCTGTTTTGTAACAAGTATAAAGGCAATATGGAGATGATTCCTTTGAACTCCATTGTATCCATTAGAGTTAAGTTGAACCGAAGAGGAGGAGAGGTGAAGAAACAGGGCTTCTGTGCCACACACTGTATCAAAAGTCTGAAGAAAATTGATTTTGTTTTAGAAAGTATAATTTTGATGGGTTCAAAACATGAACATCTTGTTTCACTTCTCAAAACAAAAACAAAGTTAGACAATATGTTTTTCCATGCTGATGTGAGAATTTTAAAAATAAGTGAAAACAAAAGGGTTTGGAATGGAAAAGATATGATAGGGGAAAAACAACTGACCACTAAACTGAAATCATAAACATGGTAGCAAATAAGGTGTTATTTATCAAAATTTATGGGTGGGTTTTGATTGGTCAAAACTCTTTCCCTATCATATCTTTTCCGCATCATAGATTTTCCCAAAATAAAAATATTCACATTGCCATTGGTTGGAATCGATGTTGTTATCTTGAAAAAACAATGCCACATCAGTGCCACATAATGACCACACCTGTTGTTTGGTTATATGTCTTTTCAAAAAACATTTTCTTAGACCATGACTTGGAGATCAAGAAAGGTGTGGTCTAAGAAAATGTCCCTTTTATGTTTTCTTATCTTTTTTTACCATTGTGGTGTTGAAAATGCCTATGTGACAGCAACAAGCAATGGACTCAAATAAAAAGAGAAAAAGTACATTTTCTGAAAAATTGACATATCAATGCAGCACCATTTTTTCTCAAAAAAAAAAACACCTCTCAAGAAATAACATTGGTTTCAAATATGGCCATTGTCAATACCCCCTAAATATGGATGTACAGTGATGCAAATTCAGAAAATAGTATTTTGTTGTTGTAGAGAAAATGGAAAAAAATGACAAACTTACAGGGCGTTCTACAACATTAATGTTTTTATTTTCATTTGTTTTTGGAATCGTGGCATCAACAAAAAACAAAAACATGTTCTTAAACTCTGTTTTTGTTTTCAAAGAGAAAAAACAAGTTGGTTTTGTTTAAAAAATAGTACATGCTTTTGGAACCAACAAAATATTGGGTTTTAAAACAAAACAAAATTTTTAATATAGAAATTATATGATTTATGGAACTTGATGTTGAATAATCTGATGAAAACATGTTTTTGAAATCAGATTCAAGAACAAGTTTTTGGTTTCAGTTTTGAAAACAGAAAACACACATGCAACCAAGAACTTGTTTTTTTGTGTTTTATTTTAAGAAACAATCTGTTTTCAAACAAGATGGTTTTTATTTGTTTTCCTTTTTCAATAAATTCCTAATAATGAATCATTTCCAGGATTTCTTTCCCTTTTTCGGCTTTAATGGTTTCTTGCTCTCTAACTATTAAGCCAAGTTTATACGTTTTATGGGTTTCTTTCTTTCATTCTTCTATTAATGTTGATCATGTCTTTAATAAGTGCATGGATTTCTTGAAGCGTATGTCATTCCACCTTTCTCAACTCTACCAAGTTACCTCTAGCTTCACTCTATTTATCGTGTCAGTCTTATTTGTTTGAATGTTCATTGGCTTTGGCTGCCCCACATAGCGCATCCTACACCACTACACGTGTTCTACAGCATATCCCAACTGTGTATCGGGAACATCTCCCATTCACCCATGCACACTGAGATGTGAATGTGGGGCACAATTCTGTACTCTTGTGGATCATCGAATTTGAGCGAAGTGAAATCTTGCTGGAATCTCTTTCTTTATTTAGCCAACATTTATTTCATTTTACTTTTTAGGCTCAGTTTGGAAAGAGTATAAATACAAATATGTACAATGCAAATACAGACAAAATAATATAAAATACAAGATTTTGCACCTCTATATATTTGTATTTGTACTCCTTCCAAACTGAGCTAGTGAGTCTTAGATGATCGATACTCAAAAGGTATTTGTGTCTTTTTCAAAGGCATTTAATGACTGATTAATAGCTGATTAACTATAAATATTGGATTGACACGTTTTAAAAGTTCAGATAATGAATTATTGCATTTTAAAATTCAAAGACCAAAATGGCACTAGGCCCAAATTACAATCACACAGGATAGTAATCGGAAATTTTGCCTAAGTTAAAAATATAAAATAATTTGAAAGAGTTAGTTACCTAAAGAATTTTAGTCCATGATTGACTGGGTGTATAGGGCCTATGTGATCGGTGAGAATCGGGCCCTGTCAATGTGCTTACGGCCCATGACGAGAGCATTGGACTAATTTCACCTCTCAAGCAGCAGAAAGCTTTTAATAATATGCTTAATTAATTCCGTCTGATGACATGAGCCAAAATGACTGCATCAACGCCAACGGAAAGATCTCCAATAAAATGGTTGGTTGGTCGGTCGGTCAGTTAATGCTTCGGCTCCTTGTGAGGTGTGACTTGGGAGGGCGTTATCTCTTCAAATATACAATGAAATGAATGTTTTCACCAATCCAATGCTCAGTTGAGAAATGTTCCACTTCCACATATATATGACATATACATACTCTAAAGTCAAAACTCTTATCCCTTTTCTAATTTTTGACGTTTTTCCTTTGACATAGCTCATAGCTGATGGAACGTTGT